AAACATCTTTGGTTTTGGTATCTCATATATGTTATCATGGTCTCCCAGGTTGGTTTTGTCGTGAAAAGTATTATATATTTTATTTAGGGCGATGGTTTGATTTTGATTTTCTCTTTTTCTGATTAAACCCTACCAGTGTGTTGATTTTGTAGTTCATGCTCTTGGTCTTTCGTCCAAGCTTCTCTATGCATTGTTCTTGAAACTATCGTAAAGAAGAATGTGAGTAAAGAAGGTGAGAATAGTATAAAACTATTTTATGTCGCCAAATATTACTTTGGTTGTAGGAACGAGTTAGAGTTAGAATATTAGATATCGATCTGTAAACATGTTTGGTGAATGTGCAGTGTCAAATTTGTGTGGCAAGCTCTCATGTGTTTGTCCAAAAAGGCATATACGATTAGGTTGTGGAGAGGTTAGTGGNAAAGGCTGAAAATTGTGTCATTGGTGACATTTTTGATTCTACTTCTCTAAAAGGACCCCTCATGTAAGACAAGACTAATTAATTATAGGTTGATTGTTTGGGTTTCCTCATGTTGATAAAATCTGGAATTTATTTGGTTGATTGTTTGATCATGGACATCTCCAGCAAAAAACCTTGTGTTCATGCCTACAGGTTTCTGCCATGTGCAGACAATGTTGAATGACATGTCTTTCAAGTTCTCCTTTGGTTGTCTCTTGATAATTGGTGAATACTTCTTATCTAAAGGAAGGTCAAAACTATATGTCATCTTCGAGGTCGGTCCCTATGGTGGAATCGTCTTCCCTCTCCTTACAATGTAAGAAATCCTTTCTTCTTTTGGTTTTTGAATATTTTACCCTCTAATGGAAGATTAAGCTTCTTTTTTCTAGGTCTGATCTCAGCGACTGCATTAATGGAGAGCCGAGAAATCGCAAACTCGATGGTGGTTAATAACGTTGGAGTTACTGTNGGTTACATTGGAGCTTGTGTTGTCTTTGGCTTATCTGGTTTGACATCAGATCAGTCCATTAGAAAAGGAGAAGTCCATACACTAATCACGGTACGATCTCTTTTTCTTCTTCTAATGTGTATAGAATCGTGACATCACTTAATACAGGACGCAAATAGTCCAAGACGACAAGTTTACAAGAACAATCTATTGATACGTATTGCTGATATGTTCAAAACCATTAGAGATTTATGTATCTTTTGAGCGAAGCCTATTTTGTTTTTCCGTTGTTATTCTGTGTTTTCTATGCAGAAACTAGCATAGAAGCATATCCTGAAACAAGAAAGCGACAGGGATTATGCTACTGACTTTACTGCCTTTTGTTATGGTCACATTTTCAGCGATATTCGATTCAAAATCTTGGGATGACATCATTGTTTTGATCACACTCATTATCTATGGTTCTGCTTGTGTTGTTTACTTTATTTATTCGGTATAAGACTCGGAAAAAATGAAGTAAAGTCTCAAAATTAATACTCCCTCCCTCCGTTTCTTAATATATAATTTAATGTATCAATTAAGAAAAAGATTGTATAATACTATTGGAGAACTTTACTGGGTGCAAGCAGAGTACATGGAAATACAGAGCTAGCTGAAACAGCTGCAAATAAGATTTTCGCTATGGTGCCTGAAAATTCTGGTATGTATGTTCTTCTCTCAAATATGTACGCTGCTTCAGGTCTTGGTAAGCTGCGAGTGAAAATGCGGGACAAAGGGGTGAAGAAAGTTCCAGGGTACAGTTGGATTGAGTATCAGAACAAGACTCATANTTTCTCGGCTGGGGATGAGTTTCATCCCGAGAAAGACGAGATCTATGCATTTTTGGATGATCTTGATTTGAGGATAAAGAAAGCAGGGTATGTCTCGAAGACGAGTGTGGTTCTTCATGATGTGGAAGAAGAAGAGAAGGAGCGTATGGTTCGGTACCATAGCGAAAGACTGGCTGTAGCNTATGGGATAATGCGTGTGTCTTCAGGGAAACCAATCCGTGTGATGAAGAATCTGCGTGTGTGTGAGGATTGCCATAATGCCATCAAGTATATGGNGAAAANCACGGGGAGATATATTATCTTGAGGGATAATAACAGGTTTCACCATTTTAAGGATGGTTCATGTTCTTGTAGAGACTACTGGTGAAGTGGTGATGACTCCATTTCATTTTGATCAGAGAGAAGGAGATATAACAAAAGCAGTGAAAGATTGGACTAAAACCAGAAACAACACGAATTTTTCTTACATCTTGCGGTTCGAGGATAGTAAAACACNAGTATTGTCCTCCAAGGAACAATTTTATTGAAGGGAACACAAATCGTTATCGAGTTTTGAGGTAAAACCATGGATTCTACTTCTTGTTGGTGATGAATAAACCCCATTTTTGTTCACCAGATGTACTCCTTTCAAGCTTTGATTTCCATCCTCCAACAATGTCATTGTAATCCTCCTGCATTACAAAAACGTTTGAAAAATATGTTGAGATCGATGAGAATGACGCAATAAAGTGGAGTTTTCTTCAATGAATCGGTCATGAGGAATGATTTTACTTCCGAGAAGTCGCTGATGAATTCTTCTTTTTCTTTCTCTACTCTCTCTAATTCACGCCTCAGGACTTGTACAAACTCCGAAAAATCGTTTATGTTAGAATCTGCATTATACAAATAAATGTATACATGTATGTTTTATGCGGGAGTCACCTGATCAGTACGGTCCTCNGCGATCACATCCTCAAAGCNTGCGTCTTTCAGCATCTACGGGAAGAAGGTTTTCACTAATCATGATACCCTCAAAAGCATAAAATGATGTAGGTGATGTTAATGAGAACTAACAAAAAACACAAACCTGTCCATAAGCTTGTACATGATGGAGATCATATCCTCTTTGTTTGATATACTCTGCGAATATAGGAGACGGAGTTTCAGCATTTCTGCAGTAGTCGGTGATGAGAACTTTACCGCCTGGTTTAAGCCATTTGAAGAATGTCTTGAATAGAGCCGGCTTGTCCTGAAAAAAATGAAGTAAAGTCTCAAAATTAATACTCCCTCCCTCCGTTTCTTAATATATAATTTAAATTAAGAAAAAGATTATATAATGCTATTGGTTACACATTTTTCAATAAAAATAAAATCTACATAGATATCTGAAAATATCTTATACTATGAAACACAAAAATACTTTTAAAACATCTTATATCAGGAGTTCGTGGTCAGGTACCCGCTTTCGTAGATTTGGTTTAAATAAGTGGTCAGGCAAAAAGACATTTATAAATTGCGAATAAGATGTAATTGGTTGTTATCAATCAATCAAGAATGGATTAACAAAATAAATATTTTATTCTGCAGTTAATGCAAACCATGTTTCAGTAGCCTGTCATTGCATCTTTTATAATGTTTATCCCATTCGGAAACCATTGGGATTAGATCAAATATGTTTTCAATTTAACGTTCATAATTGGGAATCCACGTAAATTTTTTATATTTATATTTGCATATGATGATTTTTACTAAGATCAGCTATAAACGTGGATTCCACAAAACCAATAAAAGCATTGCAAGAAAGATGACAATTATCATTCCTAGAATGAATTCAATGATAGCTCTTAAGACTCTCTTTGTGAGCAACTTTTCAAAAGACATTTCTTTGGTTGTTCCAACTTCAAAACCTAGGGAAAAGAACGTGTGTATATTTCTTGGAGGTTGTTTCTTATATTCATTTTTATATATTGATTGTTGGATTATATATCTTTGGTGTATTATTGAAAATCTAATGAAAATATTTTTTCGTTCTTTTCTTTGACAGTATCATGGTGTTATCCAGTATGTGATTTCTTCTATCATTAGTGGCCCATTTTTATAATTTAAATGTTATAGTTTTTTTTGTCTTAAACTAATATTGATTAGACTTTTTCCGATTTGCTCTAGTATCTTGGAGGTTGTATAATCCTATTTTA